TAGGGGTGAGGGAGAGGAACCAGGGGGTTTCGAGGAAAGAAATGGAGCTTTGTATTACAAAGGGGCACTGTATATCCCTGAAGGAGACTTAAGGGGAGGGTACTCAAGCAGTTGCACGACAGCCCTACGGCGGGGCATTTTGGACAACACAAAACCATGTGGTTGGTCACCAGGGAATTTTGGTGGCCTAAGGTGAGGGAAGATGTACGTGAGTATGTAAGAGGGTGCGAGCAATGCCAGCGAGCCAAAGGGGAAAGGCGGGCGCCGGCGGGGCTATTAGAACCCTTACCAACCCCAGAACGACCTTGGGAGGCAGTGTCGATAGATTTTATGACTGATCTGCCGAAGTCCAAAGGGAAAACAGCCATCATGGTGGTGGTAGACCTACTAACAAAGATGTGCCACTTTGTAGCTTGCTCGCATGCAGTCACGGCGGAAGAGACAGCGAAGTTATTTGTAGAACACATTTTTAGGTTGCACGGGGTGCCATTGAGGGTGGTCTCAGACCGAGGAAAACAATTTACTTCCAGGTTCTGGAGGAAGCTCATGAGCTTACTGCAGGTGGAGGTCAATTTTCGACTGCCCGGCACCCTGAAACCAACGGGCAGGCGGAAAGAGCAAACGGTGTCCTCCAGCAATACCTGAGGTGTTATGTCAATGACAGAGAGAATGACTGGGTAGAAAAGTTGGCGCTGGCGGAATTTGCCTACAACAATGCCGAGAATGTGTCCACAGGGATGAGCCCCTTCTTGGCTAATTATGGGTGTCATCCCAGGGCTTTCCCAGGGGAGATGGGGAGAGATGGAGCGTCCCGGCAGCCGAGCATTTTGTGGAAGAAATGGAAGCAATCCATCGTCAGCTCCAACTCAACTTAGAAAGGGCGAAGGAAGAATACAAGAGGCAGGCAGACAAGAACCGAAGGGAAGGTGAAACCATAAGGGTGGGAGATAGGGTGTGTCTGTCAACCCAAGGGTTGCCGTTCAAAGGAGGTTGTAAGAAATTAAGACCCAGGAGGTTGGGTCCCTTTGAGGTCATTCAACAGGTCAACCCAGTGGCTTTCAGGCTCCGGTTACCCAACCACATGAAACTGCACCCAGTATTTCACAGGTCGTTACTGTCACCGTACGAAGGGGGACGAGAAGGGATGGCCACTCGGGACCGGTCATAGAAGAAAGAGAATGCAGCAGCCATGTGGCAGAAATCCTCGACGCCAGGTGGAAGGGGGATCAGGTGGAGTATTTGGTAGCGTGGGAAGGAGAACCGGAGTCAGAAAACACTTGGGTAATGGCCGAAGATATCAATGACGAGGTATTGATAGAAACGTTCCATCAAAGGTTCCCAAGGAAACCTCAGCCTGTGGAGAGGTTCCGGAGGGAATACTTTGGGACCACTGATGAGGAGGAGGAGTTGGAAGGATTCCCGGACTCGGAAGGGGAAGGGGAGATGGACTCTGAGGAGGAGGAGTACTTCGAGACCAGGAACCGCAACAGGTGGAGAGAAGTGTTCGAGACATCGGAAGATGAAGGAAGTTCATTCCGGGTTTTGCCTCCTCACCGCCCGTAGAGGAGGGGGCGAGAGGGGGTGAAAGGGGCCCTGGAGGGGAGGTGGATGTCAGGGAACTGCCATCGGAAGGAAGGGAGGTGAAAGGGCTCACACAGGTTGGGAGAGACTCAGCAGCTGAAGAGGGAACCAGTAGGGGGAAAGGAGCTGAGCTGAGGGAAAGTGAGCTGGAGGGATGGCTCAGAGACACTTCCAGCGAAAACAGTGGGGAGGTTTCAGGACCTCCTGTAGGAACACCCACTCCTCGCCGGAAACTGTCACGCAGAGAGTCCAGAAGACGTGTTTCCGTTAAGGAGCTTTTATGTTGGAAGCGATTCCGAAAGCAACCACTGTCGGAATCTGCTAGTGACTAGAGGAGCCATGTCTGAGGGGCTCCGTCACAGACAGAGGTTTGTGGACTTGAACAAACTCTGAGGGGATACTATTTTACGCACAAGCAGCTCATCATCCCATCACACATATATACTGTAGATCTAGATGATATAGATATAATAAATAAGGAAAAAAACTCTGCTTGGGGTGTCCTAGCGTTTTACTTTTTGAAATACGGCAACCCTACCTTACAATAATCTTTTAAGGTAAGTCAAACTTAAAATCCCTGTTCTTAAGTTTGGGCCTGAGGTTTAGAGATAGAATCTTGCCTAAGGTCACCTAAGGAGTTCATAGCTATGGTAAAATTTGAACTGAGGACTTCCTAGATAATGCCTTTGCACTTTTACCATGTCTCTTCCACTTCCAAGTTGATTTGCAAGTACTTGCATTCACTCCATAGACTGAAAGGTCATGTGAGCTGGCCTTTAGGGAAGAGAATTCAGGGATCAAGGCATAAACCACTCATCATAGTTTATGGGTGCTCTCACAAGCATTTCATATGCTGGCTCATTACTCTCATCTTTTGAAGTCATGGTGAGACAGCTGGTCTATAAAACAATTCCCTCTCTGTTATGTCTGATTTATTGTCTCAGGTTACAACCGCATGATGTTCACAGTTATACTTTGGGTATAGTGTCTCAAGGATTAGCATTTCTAGGTCTTCCTCACAAGGTCTGGAGCTGTCCCAACCTTCTCGACATGAAGATCACTTTCCCTTCGCCTCTTGCTAATTCTGCTTTGAGTTTCTATTTTCTTCTTCGTCTTTCATTTTCCATTTATAATTATTATTATTTTTTGGAAAAATATGGAATATTTGTACTTGTTCTTTTTATTTTTGGTCATATTTTAGATCATACTTTTTGTTTTGTCTTGCTATTGTTAGGTCCTAAATATTTTTCTTAATCAATTTCAGACTATTGATTGAACTTCTATATAGCTTGGTAATGTTTTCTGCGCTGAAATCCAGGCTGCCACTCATCTTTTGCAATATATGACATTTATGATTTCCTACTCTAATGTAGTTGAAAATGTGATGGCATAATTGTACAGAAAGGGTCCCCAATATGCAAAGTAATGCTTCCAGGTATGGATGATTTAGTAGCATCCATCATTGCTCTACTGGTGTAAGCTGTAACTGAAATAGCAATTCTTCTAGACTTCTGTGTTTCAGATAACAATCTGTAGCCAACTTCTCCAATACCAAATGTTGAGGTGGTGATTTTCAATGGGCCTGGGGGTGAAAGGATAAAAAACTTCCCTCTCTACTTGCTGAACTCCTGATCATGATTTTCTGTTCACTACAATTAAGGGGAGGGGGGAGGGGAGAGAGAAAAGAAACTGATATAAGGCCTATACCTTTTCCTACTTGGAAATGGGTTAGAGTTGCTTTCTAGAGAAGCAAGTGGGACCGTGTGAAGAAGATGCCAAGAGTGATTGGCAGTGGCCATAACTCACTAAAATCTCACAGAACAACTGCAAAATGGGCTATCTACACTTCGTGATGAATGAATCTTGCCAGTCATAGCTTTTCACAGTTTCTCCCTCCCCCCGCCCCCATCTTAAGTTTGCCCAATTTCTGCATACATGTCTGATTTAGGAAAAAAAGTTCACATGAGAATTTGTAGCATTTTCATGTGTGTTCCTCTTAATATACACACAATTTTGCCTAGTTTGTATCCAATTTCTCCTCAGTAGAAATCATTTTTGTATGTGTTTTTTAACTGATGACCTAAAAATTAGATCACAAAATTAGAAGAACTTCAATTTCAAATGAGTGCTCTGGTTTGGTTTGCATGGTGGTTAATGAAGCATGAATTTTGTAGGTTTGAAGTAAACTGCACACTGAATGAGTTTCTCCCCCATTCCTATCCACATCTGTGGAAATGGTGTGAGCTTTGGGTGGGGAAAATACATGCCAAACTGAACAACTTGTTTTGTGATCAAAGTGTGGTTGTTCCCAGTGTGGAAGAAGCACCGTGCAAAGATTGTTCATGAGGAGAATCTTCCATTCTGTAAAGGGTGCCTACAGCTTTACTTGGTCCATTGTTAGTCAATTCACGCTTGCTTTTTCCATTGCAGGGTTGGATCACAATTTGCCCTGACATCTACACACATCCTGTAGTAAAACATCATTGAGAGCAAAATGCAGTTATATAACTGTGATCTCCTGGGAAGACAGGGTGTACATTTCATCAACAGCAAAGATGCATAGTTATTATTTGGAGATACAAGGGCACAGTGAAAATGAAAAATAAAATAAAATCCCTGACAGTAAACCAACAAACAGGCTAGAATTTCTCAGATATCTGCTGGCAGCCATCCCCTGCAAGGCATATTCATCAAAGGGATAAAAGAAACCTTTCCCTTCATTGAACGAAGCAAAATTTAAAGTCTTTTACTTCCCTTTCTACATTTAAAATATACTTTTTAGTTAATGGGACACTTTGTGCTGGAATCAGGAGGGGGAGAGTTTTGTTCATTGAGCGAAGCATACTTCTATTAGGATCAAAACATGCCTTCAACAAAAGCCACTGGATTTTACATCACACCAGTGAATACTTGCCAGTTCTTGAAGCAGTGCAGACACTGTCCACTGTCCACAACCACATATACATATGTGGCTCCCTGGCACACTTAAATCTGTGGTGGCAGGTGCTGGATACATGTCAGAGGTTTTCTACTGGGAAGAGCTAGGTTGAATGAAGTACATATTAGGGGTGCGCATCAGCTTTGTTTGTACTCTGAATAAAGAGGTGAAATGAATGATTCAAGTAATGATTTCACATCCCTACCTCAAATCATACTATTAACAAGGCATGCCTAGGTGGATCACGTATCCCCCTATGCTTCCAAGGCACTCTGGCCTTGTTCCCCCCCAAAAAAGTTAAACACACGTCATTCCCCACATTTTATTTTCTGAGAGGTAGAGTAGATGGGAGCGTGGGTGTGAGCGCCTTTCATTTTGACAGACAAGTCAGGCTTTTACTCACATTTTCTGAGGCCACTCCAGCCAAAGTGATTTGGGCGAGGGATGTTGAATTAAATAGAGTTGTTCTTCATACTTATCAGCTTCTGGATAGCTCAGCTGGTGAGAGCACGGTGCTGATAACACCAAGGTGGCAGGTTCAATCCCCTTATGGGGCGGCTGCATATTCCTGCATGGCAGGGGATTGGATTGGACAATCCTCGGGGTCCCATCCAACTCTACAATTCCATGATTCTATGTGGATCATCATTCTCCAAGTTCAGGCCATGACAGTAGAGTGTAATGAATAGAATTAGACTATGGGGTGACTATACATGTAAAGGAGCATATTTAACTCCGGGTCCTCTTCGTCTCCTTTTCACTTTTTCTTTTTTTGCATTTTCCTTTAAAAAGATAAACAACTTACTTACTTGAAAATAAAACCCCAAGGTGGTTGTCACCAATGGAAGCAAAGGCTCAGAAAAGGCTCAATATGGAGGCCAAATGGCCGAAATATTGGGAAATTTTGGAACAAGAAGGAGACAAATTGAAATTGCAGAGTTTTGAGAAATTAAAAGATAAA